TAAGATGCACACAGTGTCTGGTGCCCCACTCTTAGTAATGCCAAGATGGACCAGTCGTACAGTGTCAGCTTGATATTGTAACGTTCCTGTCAACCTTTCACCCGATAGTTTTTTTGTTCCTTGGTAATCTTTGCCTGAATTATTTGTTTCACTCCTTTAAAAAAAAAAAGTCATCATGGAAGTAATCATTCTATCTGGATATTTTTCTGTATCAGTGCGTTTAGATCTGAGCTCATTTTTAATAGCTACATAATATTCTATCGAATGTATTTATTGTAAAGTACCATGATTTAATTTTGCTGAATAAGTGCATGTTGTTAAGAATAATATATGTTTTAATTGTACATTCTTTCATGCTGTTTCAGGTGAACAGAAAGCCTTTTCTTCCTTCCAGACGTTGAAAAATAATAGCCCGTACTCGGAGTCTTGTGAGGATTTGAGAAAAGATCAGCATAGTCCATCCTATCAGCAAATAAATTGTATTGATAGTGTTATCAGGTATGAAGCACAAGTTTTGATAACATGTTAGTTTTCCAAAAGCAAACATTGTCACTGTGGAGACTTTATGTAATTTTTAATAGCTGTTGTCTTGGTTTTTCAATATAAACCAATAGATATTTATGGAGTGCCTACTACATACAGTTCATAATATACTCAACATTTCGGGGGATGCAAAAAATTAGAAGAGGGATTCCTTCTTTAAAGGAGCTATGGTATAGTTGAGAAGACAAGACCTACACTTGTCAAATTTAAATGATGCAAGATATGAGGACCAATTCAAGACTATGGTAAAAGTGATCTAACAATCCAGTGATTCAGGCTGGGATGGCCAGGGAAGACTCCATCAAAAAGGAAAGTACAAGGTGACATCAGCGTCATGGCAACGTGAGTTGTCCCTTTTTTCTCTCTTCTTCAATTTTCAACGAATTGGATATCCATAACCAGAAATAAGTGCTTCTGCACAGCATACCAGGACATCTGCAAGACCCATCTGTGTACCTTCATGTGGGTGGATTGGACCACAGGAGGAGTAGCAGGTCTGGCAGTGGGCCAGCATGACCTTTTTTTTTTTTTAAGCTGAGCCATCCTGCTACCTGTTGGCAGCTCAGCNCATTCAATGTAATTCCAATTAAACTCTCAGAGGATTTTTTTTCTGTAGATATCAAGCGGCTCCCCAAACTTATACGGAAAGACTAAGGAACGAAAATAGTCAAAACAATTTTGAAAAAGAAAATCTATGTTGGAGAACTCACACTACCTGATTTTAAAACTTCCTACGAAGTTACAGTAATTAAGACTGATATTCGTGAAGGGATATATCAAAGGGACAGATTAGAGTCCCAAAATAGACCTGCACAAATATGGTCAATGAATTTTTTACAGAGGTGCAAGATCAAATTAGTGGATAAAGGATAGTTTTTCCAACAAATGGTACTGGATAATTGGACAACTGTATATGTAAAAAAATGAAACTCAACACATATCTCACATATTATACAAAAATGAATTCAAAATTGACCAAAGACCTAAATGTAAAACTTAAAACTACAAACTTCTGGGAGAAAGTCTTTTTGATCTTGAGTTTGGGAAAGAGATATATGACATCAAAAGCATGAGCCATAAAAGAGAAAAAATTGTTCAATTGGACTTTTTCAAGATTAAAAACTTCTTTTTGAAAGACAATGAGAAGATAGAATATTTGCAATTGATATATACAGTAAAGAAATTTTTTCTAGAATACATAAAGAACCTTCAAAATTCAACGATAAGCAAACCCAATTTACAAGTGATCAAGAGACCCACTTTTCCAGATGTTATACACATGGCACATAATATATGAAAGAAGGTCCACGTTCACATAAAAACCTGTCTGTGAATGCTTATGACACTTGATTCAGACTTGCCAAAACAACATAGATGTCATTCAACAGGCGAATGGATAAGCTGTGGTACACTGCACTGTGGACTGCTAATGAACTTGATTCAGACAGCAGTGTAGTTGGATCTTAGATGCATTTGCTAAATGAAAGAAGCCAGAACTGAAAGGTTACATGTGGTCTGATTCCATTCTGGAAGAGCATTCCCTCAGGAATGCACTGTCT